GCCAGCACTGGCTGGGGAATTCTGGGAATTGAAGTCCACTCATCTTAAAGTGGCCAAGTTTGGACAACACTGTTGTAACTATTTCACCTAACAGTTCACTCACTGTATTTTTTTGAATAAGAATTAACTGCGTATTATGTTAGCAAAAGACTTTTCTACTACCTCCCCTCTTTCTTTTGTTTCAAAGGTCCTTGGAACACAAAAGGGTTCCTGTATTTAATTGCAAAGTTAAATATTCTGCGATGATTAAAATGTGATGTTGCGAAATCAAAACTAAACGCTTTGCAGGTATTTTGGCTGTATTTAATTGCGAAAGAAAAAGAAAAGAGGAGATATCCTGAATTTAAGATGTTTTCTGCTGCAAAAACAGGAAGGTTAGAAAGGAAAAAAGCCAGCCTCCATTACTGAGTTCAGCAAATCTCATACGACCCTCACCTTTGAAAGGTGAACTGGGGGAAAAGCTAATTTTCCTTTCAAGTAAACATGGTAGTTTTAGATTTACACAGAAAACGGCTTGTATGTTAACATCAACAGGCTAATGAAAAGGAAAACGTTTAAATAAGCCTTTCCCAGCTGGGTGCCCTCCAGACATTTGATACTGCTACTCCCAGAAGTCCCTAGCCAGCATGGGAGTTAGTCTGGAGTCCGCAAGGCTAGGAAGGGCTGGTCTAGAAGAGAAAACTGTGGAAACTTACCTTCCACAACATCAATCATGCAGAGACCTAACAAACTGGGCACCAGATTGGACGCTGCTGTGTGCACAGCAATGGCACCGCCCATGCTGTGCCCGATCAGCATAATGGGAGGGCAGAGGTCTCCATACATCACTTCCACCACGTTGCCAATGTCTCTACAGACAGAAAAATAAAAGAACACAAGAACATGAGCCGTGCCCTGCTGGGTGGGACCCCTGGCCCAGCAGCCTGTTTTCCCAGTGGCCCACCAACTCCCAGCAGATGCCCTTCAGAGCGGTTCCGTGACATCCAGGCTAGGAGACTCGGATCCCCAGGACTTCCATGAGCTGGTCCAACCCTTCTGTGAAGCCAGCCAAGCGGGTAGCCAGCCCCACATCTCACGGTAAGGAATTCCAAAGTTGAATTAACGTTGTGTATTTCCTGTTGTCCGTCCTGATCCTTCCAACGTTCAATTTCATTGGGCGACTTCTGCTTCTAGTATTTTGGGAAGGGGAAAATGGCTTCTCCCTGTCCACTTTATCCACACCGTGCAAAGTGTTATACACCTCCGTCATGCCCCCTCTCGTTCACCTGCCTTCTAGACTAAAAAACCCCCAAATGTTGCAACCTGTCCTCATAGGGAAGCTGCTCCAGCCCTTGGACCATCGCAGTTGTCCTCCTCTGCACCTTCTCCAGCTCCACTGCATCCCTTTTGTGGTGTGGTGACCACAATATTCCAAATGTGGTCACACTGTTGATTTATATAAGGGCATTATGCTATTGGCATCCCCACTTTCAATACCATTCTTTATTATCCCTAACACGCTTTTGGCCTTTTTTTACAGCAGACGCACACTGTGTTGACACCAGGAAGGGACATGCCGGCTGGCAATGTCTGCATGCATACATTCTGGGGCCCTATCTTTTTTTCCACCAATGATGGTTTGCTAGAAGAAGAATCTGAACTCCCCAAAACCACATTTGGCCTGCAGCTGCCAGCCCCAGCCCTGGGGCATCTCCTGTGCTTGTGCCACCCCCCAGGCCTCTCACTTAGATGTCCTTTCGGGGTTGCCCTCTGAGCTTACTTATTCTGCGTGGATGAAAGTTGCTGTCTATTTGCTCCACCCACCCCCAAAGCTGAGAGATGAATAAGGAAGTACGACTAATCCTACAGGGCCCTCCTCATTGTGCATTGTTTTGATCTGGTCGTTATTCAACAGCCAGCGTTTACCTTAAAGAACTGGTCCCTTCCACTGGGAGCTTGTAGGCAGAGGTGGGGAACTGCAAAAAGCTTTTTCAATGTGGGACATGTTTTTATCTTCACATGTAAGTCCGCCAACCTCCTCTCCTCTCCTCTCCCTTGCTGGGAAATCTGCAATGTCAAAAAGCTGAACTCTGCACCCAATTAACAAAGGAGCACAGTACTAATTAGCCCCCTGGAATAAAAGAGGATGCCAAGAGCTTGAAGTCTGCACGGCCCAGATCTGATGTGCCTGGAGCAACAGCGACTCCCACTTCAACCCTTGCATGAACACTATTTCACCCCCACACTATACTTAGCTGTCTTCTCTCCACAGAGGCATCCCTTCTCTGCTAACACCACGGGAGCCCCACCTATTCCTTGGCTTCCGTACTGGCTGAACGTCTGAGTAAGTGGAATGTCCATAAACATTCCATCGCACCTCAACAGCTAAGCAAAGAGTGACCCACCCAGGACTCTTTAACAGGGACTCTTACGCACCTAAACAGAGCAACATTTACGAAGAGCCCAGCCTTCTCTAATTATCTAGATAAGCCCAGCTACAAACTGACAGAACTCCCACCTAGCAAGGCCAAAGAACCCGGAAGGCATCACACTGGGAAAAGCTAAACTAGACATTAAGAGGGAAGTTCAGTCTTCCTCCAGCTATGGCTTCAGTGGGGTAGACCCTCAGCTTCAGTCTCCCCCGCCTGCCACAGATCCAATACCTCCCCAAAAAACAGGAGCACTGGAAAGATTCTTACAAATAAACATTCACGGAGCATTTTGTTCTGATGCGAAATATCCCATCAGCGCAATTAAACTGTCATTTTAGACATAATGGACCTTTTTTTTTTTGGTTTCAATTTCACCCCTGCTAGGGTTTGGAAATTAAATTGAAGTTTTACTGCAAATGATGCCATTTGCATCCATTATGTAATTATGCAAATGATATAAATGGATGCAAATGGCAAAAACGGATACAAATGATGTGTGTTGGGATTTAACGGACACCTCCCCCCCCCCGCAATGGTTTTGATTGAATTGAAAATCTGCAAGTCTACATTTTGTTTGTTTTAAGTAAGGCATGATCTCTCTCTGTCCCCTTTCCCCAATTTGTGGCTCTGCAGCTCTCTGCTAGCTGGGATGAGAGGAATTGTGATCCAGCACTCGGAGAACACCGAATTGGGGAATGCTTTTCTTTTGGAGGACTTGAGTCAAGTCAATGCGCTAAAAGATGGTCCAAAGTTGAATGTGAATTGGAAGACCGAGGGTCACATTTGTTACAAGGTACTTTACAGATGCCAACGTGGAACAAAGATGGTTCTCACACATTTTCGCCTGAGGTCTCCTTTACATTCTTAAAATGATTCAGAGTCCCAAAGAGTTTTGGTTTATATGGGTTATATCTATTGATATTTACTGTATTAGAAATTAAAACTGAGAAATTTTGAAATTTTTATTTGACTTTATGGACCTCTGGTCTAGATACCGAAGAAGAGAGAAAGGGATTAGCAAAAGCTTTTACAGCAAATTTCCAGCTCCCAGCCAGAGGAAGGGGAACAAAGAATCCTGCCCATAGGACCACCAAACACACTCTAATATACAAGTAGCCCTGACTTAATGACCACAATCGGGACCAGAAAATTGGTTAAGCGGGGCAGTTGTTAAGTGAGTCATGCCGGATTTTATGACCTTTTTTGCAGCAGTCATTAAGCAAATCACCGCGGCTGTTAAGCAGATCACGTGGTTCCCCATTGATTTTGCTTGCCGGAAGCTGCCTGGGAAGGTTGCAAATGGCGATCATGTGAGCCTGGGACACTGCAGCTGTCGTAAGTGCGAACTGGTTGCCCAGCGCCCAGACCACCATCATATGACCGTGGGAGTGCTGCGACGGTTCTAAGTGCGAGGACAGGTTGTAAGTCCCTTTGTTCAGCACCGTTGTAAATTTGAATGGTCACTAAACAAATGGTTGTTAAGTGAGTAAACCTGTAAAGACCTGTTAACAATTACTCATGCCCTCAACACACTTGGTCTAGAGCAGTGTTTCTCAATCTTGGCAACTTTAAGATGTGTGGACTTCAACTCCCAGAATT